CTTTTTCGAGCCTTCCAGTCTGGTAACATAACACTGAGTTCGCTAGCATAGTCGCATAATTGAGATGGATTGGATTCAATAGTCAAGTTGTATTTTTTTAGGACCTGAACTAAAATCGATGTAAAGTTATTAGTTTTGGACTTTCGAATTTTTTGAGCAGTTTCCATAATAGCCATTTAGATAATATATACACGGAAAGTTTTAGTATACGAATACTTACAAATTCGAATCTTTAAAATCAAAATTTTCGATCCAGTAATACTTTTTTTGAAATTGAACGACGCCGCATATACAAATCAATAAACAAAATGAGTCTGTCTAGGGAGGAAAAAAAACGTCTATATAAATCATTTCAACAACAGCGCCAAAGTCAAAAATTGGCTGAAGTCAGTGAGGCAAAAAGTCTTTTCGCAGGTTTAACGGATCTTGAGCATGAAACTGGTTATAGAGGAGAACATATGTATTTTAAATATTTACTTCTGTCTAATGGACAGAGTGCACTTACTTCAGAAGATGATTCGGAAGATGATGCAAAGAATATAGCACTCTTGGGTGTATATTATCCAGAAGAGATTAATTCTCGATATATAATTTGGGTCGCAGGAAAAGGCTTTACAGTAATAGACCATCCTTCTGAAATTTATAAAATACCGGATGCACATGAATGCATTAACGGGAACCAGCCCCTTCGTCCTATATTAGATATTGATGCAAGACAAAAACCAGATCCTGCAAATCCAGAACTTCCTTCTTTAGATGGCGAAAAAATTACTCGTGATGATTTGATGTCTCAAATTTTAATTGCCTGTGCGGATGCATTAAATCTTATACCGGGATGTATACCTATCTTAAAGTCTTTTGCCCTAGCCAGTTCATCAGATGCAAATAAATGTAGCTGGCATATTATTTATCCTTCCGCTCGATTCGTAGATTACAGAGAACTTAAGGGCTTTACGGAAAAAGTTATCGAATTAGTTGGAAAACCTTACTCGAAGTTTATTGATGTAGGCCTTCCCAAATCACGTTTTAGCCTTCGGCTTCTTGGATCGGCAAAAGAAAAAAGAATTAAAAGACCTGCGATATCTTCAGTCAAGAATAGATTTCACGAGCTAGAGGATTATTTGGTTCAACCAAAATCGAATTATTCTGTGATCTGGCCACGAACCTTTTCTTCTGAAAAGCCAGCTGATAAATTCCAGCCTATCGAAGATGAAGATACCCTGAGAAAAGGTGCTAATTTGGTTATTGCAAAATATGGTTGGCTTGAAATCGGAAAAAATGGAAAAGGGTTAATCAACTTTCAAGCGCAATCATCTAAAGAATGTCCTATTTGCGAAGTTATACATGAAAAAAATCAATTATACGGGTTTCTTCTAAAAGACGGGCGTTTTATACTCAAATGTTTTCGGCAAAAACAATATAAACCAGATCACAAGGGATTAGTATTTGGCGAAGCAACGAGAGTAGCTGAATCACCTAAACAAAATATTATCGAAAGAATAGCCAATGCTGTATCAAATCCATGTTCACTTCCTGAATTACCCGGAGAAATTATTAACGTGAAGGAAATGGAAGATGCACCAGAAGCTTATCCAGATTTCTTGAGCGAAAAATCCAGTACAACTCTTATCCGCTCTCCTATGATGACAGGAAAAACAAAAGGTCTAAGAAAAAATCTCAATTCTTTAGCCAGAAGTGGTGCCAAGTTACCTTGTTTCATCTGGGTTTCTTATCGAAAAAGTCTTAGTAATGAATCACAAGGCAAAATTAATGAACTTAAATCGTTAGGGTTCAAAATCTGTAATTATCAAGACGAACAGAACTTATCTATAGATAAATGGGATGTTATTATAGTCCAAGTTGAAAGCCTTTCTCGTGTCGAATTTTCAGCCCGTCCAATTGTGGCTATTTTAGATGAAGTCAATGCAATTCAACGCCAAATGAATAGTGGTGCAAATGCAAGAGAATCTGAGAATGCAATGCGAGATTTGTTGAAGTCTGCTGTTCACGTTTTAGCCATGGATGCGTTCGGAAACAAGTCAGCATTGGCCTTTCTCAAAGCTTATCGCGGTGAAAATATCCGAGTAATAGATAATAAATTTCAGCCCCTTATAGGTAAGACTATTGAATATCTTCCTGATCCAAATAATGGAGCTGAAGCTATGCGAATAGGGTTTGAGTTTTTGAAGCAAGGTAAATGCGTGGCATTTGTTGTAACAAGCTCTAACATGGCTCGAGGATTAGTAAAAAAGGCTTCTAAATTATCTTTTAAAGCTTGCGCCTATTATGGAGATATGGATGGAAAACAACGAAAAAAAGACTTTTTAGATATTAATACTGCTTGGGGTGAACTCGATTGTGTAGCTTATACAAACACAGTAGAAGCAGGTATTTCTTTCGAGAAACCTAATCACTTTGACATAGTTATAGGCATTACAAATATTGCAACTCCAGTTAATGTCGAAGCGTTTATCCAGATGATGTTCCGAATTCGTGATTGTGAAAAGCGTATACTTTCTCTCTTTTATCAAAAAAATTCCAATGAACTCTCTCGCACACCAGGTCATGAAAATATTCGTGCAGAACTTGCAATAGCTCGACCCAATGATTTGCCTACAGCAATTAAAGGACATCGTGAATGGGATAAAGATAGCATTTCCTATAAACTTGATCAATCCCCTGCTGTAACATCATTTGTTGAGGTTGAGCATCAAAAACGTCTCTCAGCAAGAAATTTTATCGAGATTTCATGTAGCCTTATTGCTAGTACTGGGGCAAGTCTCAAACTAATAAAAATGGATGAGAGCCGAGGAGTTATAGGGATTCGTAAAAAAGTTCGTAATGAAATTAGGGCTGAAGTATCGGTTATCAAGCATACAGATTTTGATGCAGTCGCCACTTCTCGAAATCTTACTCCTGAGGAAGCTGAATTTCTTAAACTTGATTCAGAACGCTCAGTTGCAGATACTATGGCACTTAAACGTTTTTATATGTGGAACCTTTATGATGGAAATGGTATGAGCATCGAGGATTGGAATAAACTCTGCGATAAAGATTTTGTAGAACGTTTTAGTCCACCCGAACCTAGAAAACATTTCTTGCGTCTATCTCATTTTTACAAGCAAGGTTATGATGAAGAGAGTGCAATAGAAGAATTAAAGGCCAAAGATATCGCACAATGGGAAGATACATGTTATAATGCTAAAGATAATTTCGAGGATTCCGTAGCAAAAGATTTACGCAAAACATATTCAGCAAATCATTGGGAAGCTGTATGCGGGCTTTTACAGTCGCTTGGTTTTACAGGTATAGATGATAAACGCATTCTCTGTGACGATCAGGTAAAAGTTGCATTTGAGGCATCTCGTGAAAAATTTATAGAAATTCGAAGTCAATCTTTATTGCTCTTTGGCTTCAAGTCTCGTGCAAAGGAAATACCAGATCTTAAATCGGCTATAAAAGCAATTAATGCAATTGTTGGCAATTGGTGCGGTTATACTATAAATAGTGAACGAAAATTGATAGGTCCTAAAGAAAAAAGAGTTTGGAAATATTCATATCAAATTAACCGAAAGCCATATAAACGACGTGGTTTCGATAATCAAGAAGAAGTAATGGCTAGAAAGTTAGATAATCCTGAATATCGCTCTAAAGTCCCAGTTCTTCCATCATATAAGTCAAAGGTGAGTGATGAGATTCAGGACTTTTTCGATTCTATACCTATTACTAACAATACTACTTTAGAATATGCTGAGCGTGAAATTTCTGACTCATCTAGTAATGCGATTGATGAAAAAGCTTTATCTTTACCGGAGGCAGACACACAGTGGCTAAAAATGCCAGCTCAAGATCAATCAATCGATTCAAATAAAATAAGTGAACATAGAGAGGATCATATTCAAGATGTATGCTATGTCAATACTATTGATGAAGCCGGTACAGCTGAGAAAAAAATATCTGAATCTCTAATTTCTTTATCTTCAGAATTCCTTATTAAAAGCGAATCTGATATAGATATCCTTATTCTTCTTTTACAGCAAAAATATCAAATGTCTCAAGAAAAATTAGATCAATGGAGAAAAAAGATTGCCTTTGAAATGCGGGATAATCAAAATTACTGGAAAAAAGAGCGCGAAAGCATGAATGAAGCTGAGTTCTTGGAATATAAGCGAAATTTTGAAACTAAATTGGGTATTCCTACTACTCCGCACAAAAGAGAATTGAAAAATAAATCTTTAGCCTTTATCGAATATGCATAATTGTTATTTCAAAATAATGCGATCAGAATACTCTGACTGGGAGTATTTCTAGCCATATATTTTAGGTAAAGGGGTTTTTGTCGCCTTTTACAATGAGTATGCAGAAAAATTCAAATCAAAAATTAATACTCTGATATCTAGATTATATAAAGGGGTTTTTGTGTCGTGTGATTTTGGATGATAGGATTTAGATGACCAGACACTTATCAAAGCGGGTTTTTGGGTCGAGGAGAGTAGTCATCGCCCGGAGCTAGTGTCAAGACACATAGTACCATTAAACAGATATCAAAAAAGTGTTACGCAAAGGCAGAATATTATAAGGAAAGAGATAAGATAAATTTTTGCTTTTACGTATCACCAAGTAAGGATAACCATTCGGCACTACGTGCCTCATTCTAAGATAACATAATAGATAACGATTCGGCACTACGTGCCTCATCATCGGATTACCAAATAGGATAACAATTCGGCACTACGTGCCTCATCCTCGCGTTACTAAATAGGATAACAATTCGGCACTACGTGCCTCATCCTCGCGTTTCCAAATAGGATAACAATTCGGCACTACGTGCCTCATCCTCACGTTTTCAAATAGGATAACGATTCGGCACTACGTGCCTCATCTTTGACGAGGCAAATGCAAAATGCACATCACCCAATTTTTAGACTATAAACATCCCATCTATGACGACCAAAATGCAAAATACACGTCACTCGAATGACGACCAAAATGCAAAACCCACGTCACAGCTAATAAGTAGGTAACAGTCTAATCATAAGTAGGTAACAGTCTAATCATAAGTAGGTAACAGTCTAACGTAAGTAGGTCGCAATATATATATATTGCGACCTACTGGTTATAATCGATTATGAATTGATCGAAAAAATCGATTTGAAATCGATTTTTACATTGCAAA